ATCATCATTATCATCACCATCATTATCATCGTAATCATCATCATCATCATCATCATCATCATAACAAATTTTACGATCATCTGACAGCCTATTTACGTACATTTAATATATATATTATATTGAGATTGTTACCAATTTGAAATCAAAATTATTTTTGAAAAAGATCGATGCTGATAACGTTGCATCTCTTATGATTCTCTAATCGACTATATTTATAGTTTTTTTGTTTTATTATATTACTCTGTAATTTTTCCCCTATTACTTCGTAATCATAAATAATTGTATAAATAAATTGTCTATAAATTCGTACAGATAACATTTACTACCTTTTAATACAAATGAAAATCGATTCGGTATTAGAAAATATCCACTATAAAGTCATACACCAAAATTGTAAAAACAATAATCACAGATGTAAATGATAAAGCATACTTCAATTACCCTTACCGGAAACTCCTAATTTATATAATACTTATGTTTCTTGCACAAGATAACATTGTTTTAAGTCTCTTTGTTAGCACTAAACATTTGGCATATACACACCAAAATGAAAAGTAAGATTACATATTTGTACCTCACGATAGGCCTTGCGGTGTGAAACAGATCTTCTCCAATTCACCGGTCGAAGAACTAACAGGAGATTCTGCTCGCTCGTCTTGTTCAGCCAATTGTTCGCTGTAGTAATGAGGTGTGCTAAGATAATCGATGAGGCGACGAGGTAAAGGTAACGTTGGGATCAGATCCCTGCGCACCATCTTTAAGATGACAAATCTACATGTATGCTGTAAACTTTGAACTTGTTTAAATCTGGATACTGGATGCAGAAGTTGCACTCGCATCGGACCCAACACTGGTCGTCGATGAAGAAAGAAAAGATAACGTCCGCTTCTCGAGTGTTCTACCGCATTTTCAATGAAATCGACGATTGTATGGGATTTGAATTTCGTGCAACTTCCAAAACTAAAAGTACCTGAAATGTTTTCATTATGTGAATGAACTGCTGCAACTAATTCTAATAATAAAATTAATTTTTATTACCTTGATCATGTTCTATCCTAACGTGTCGCACGCAACTATTAAGTCTAAATGATAAAGAGAAAATATAGTGATCATCGCTGCTGTCTCTAACAATGAAAGATCCATCCGGTTCGTTCGACAATATTTTTTCTGCAGCTTCACCTGATATAGGTCCCCAATACCAGCCATACTATAAAAGAAAGAATATTATGAAATTGAATATGAATATTATGAAACATGAATGTTACATTTTTAAAAATTTTGTTAAATGAACGTTTAACTTACATCTTTAACTTTTTCAATACTAGCAGCAAAATCGATACTTGTATCTTCTACTGTTTCTTCTTCAGATCGAGGAGCAGAAGTTGGCATTTGTTGTACGGAATTCGGAGAATCTGATTTGGATACCATAGCTGTAAGAGCTTCTTCTGCTTGTTCTACTCCTACTTGCCCATTAGTTTTTGGCAGAGGTGGTAATGCGCGTTTGAAAAAAGGCATTTTCTGTGCAGACGTATCTACCTCTGATGTGGTATTGTTGTTATTTACGTGTTGGTCAGAATCGACTCCTTCTTCCTCTTCAACAATTTCACCCTGCACGATACTATTTCTTTTTTCTACGAAATGATCGGGAGACCCCAAGCGTCTGAATCTAAAGATATTGCACAGCGTTTGCTTTAAATTTAATGAAAAGTTTCGTTGACTCTTTTTAATTTTATCCCTTTCAGAATCAGCCTTCTCTTTATGCGGTTCTTCCCTTACCTTCTTATGTTTAATACTGACAAATGAATTCTTCTTGTGCTTCTTAATATTACTATTATTATTAATATTGTTATTATTATTATTATTATTATTATGAATCAGTCCATTACTACTCTTATTAGAAATTGGTGTGTCAGTTGAAGAATCAGTATGTGTATTACTATATCTATTATTATTATTTACAGTAACACCTTTTGGCATTGCAAGATGTATGGGCGTATGCCCTATGGGGGCCTTGTCGCGCTTAATTTTATTTTCACTAGAATCACTGGAGCTTGAATATAATGTTTGTAGATATTGCCGAACTTCGTGTAATGTCATATGAATTGGTTCTCCAATATTATGTGTATGTCCATTTGATATTCTAGATCCATGACGACCAGATGTACCTGGAACACTATGACGTTTTCCATTTCCAGCTTCATTGCAACACATTTCAGCTAGCAATCTTTGTGACTTAATAACATGCGTTACAGCACGAGATTTTCCACAATAATGTCTGGCCTGTTGAATATGCGTTACTAATTCACTTTGTGAACTAGCGGATACGTTTCTTCTTCTCTTACGATGATGTCTATGACGCTTAGGCCTTTGTGGTGTCTTAAGATCATGCAATGGCCTGATTACATCTATCGGTACAGTATAAATATCAGAATCAAAGGGCACATTATACATGTCACTAATTTCACTAGTCGTCAAAACATCGTGCGACATAGCAGAAGTTATGAAACTGCTATCATCAGCTTTATGACTTAATCCTGTAGTATTTATAGAATTATGGGAACTGGACAAACGCGAAGAAGCTAAAGAACATCGTGAATTTGGACGATTTAAGGTATTATACGGAGTGATCGTAATGGTTGTAGTTCCTTGACAAGAAGGTGTCAAGAAATCTGTTGCCCATATGCGTTTAGGATTATGTGTGTTATGCGTTACCACAGGAACAGGATGTGATGCAGTCACTATCCTTCCTTCTGGCCATGATATTCTACAAGATATAGCCAATGCCTCCTCGATAATAGATTTTACAAAATTATTAGCAAATTCGTCTATACATTGTGGAACTTTGTGTTGCAACAATTGTTCATAATTAAGAATGGGTGCGGAAAAAGATTCAGAATCAGCTGGCGAAGGACTATCTTGAAACTCTGGTGGCGGTTTAATAGCAACGTCGACAACTTCCACCTCCAATTTACCATCTATATCGTTCCAACCTGGCCCTTTCTTTAACGTATTAAAATTTTCTCCACACATACCATCTGAATAATCAAAGGAATCTTGTGATAAAGATTTGCTTTCTATATCGCTTTCTTGCATCTAAAAATAATTACGAATAAAAAAGATATCCTTTAATTAAAGACATTGAATTTATTTAAGATTTAGTTAAATCATTGGAAATTATACCTCGATAGCAAGATGAGCACGCACAGAATCACTAGAAATGGAACCCCCTAGTCCACTGCTACCAAGATCACTTAAAGGTCCGGTAGCACTGAGTGAACATGACGGTGGGGAGTCCATTTCAAAATCTATTTAAATATCTGTTATTAATTTTACAATAGCCAAAATTTCTGGAAGTCCCAAGTAACCCCCTGGAACATAATTCAACATTTTATTTTTTATTTAAAATAAGATTAACATTATATTTGAAAAACACAGAACATTCCATAATCTATTTTTCTTACCTGAAAATAGCAACTGTAAACAATACACGAATACCTTATCATCTTCGTATCTGCATACCCAATTGTACTCATTATATGGTCCATTTTGATATAAAATCTAGAAGCCATAAAGCTTGCCAACTAGAGTATTTTAATCTAAAAAATAATATAATAAAATCATTTATTTGTATACACGAATAGATCATTACATTTATGGCTTAATTATATTCCTTAATATTCATCACTTTTTCTCTACATTTACTTAATCCAATTGAAAATTAATTGATATAAGAATGTTAAAACAAAAAAAGTGTAAAAATCTCTAACAATTATCGTAAGTAATATATACGAAAGAATATAATACTAATCTAAGGATCGTTATATTATGCAATATCGTGATAATAGCAATGTTTAAACAGGACTTACAAATCCCAAATGATATGCTTTTGTGTTATAGAACATTAGCAAAAAAAAATGTCAATTTTTATAACAATTAAATAAACGAATAAATAATATTGAAAAAACTTCGAGATATTTAAATGATTAAAATTGATATTATAATAAAATATTATTCCTAATATTTGAAATATCTTGACGAAAAGACATGCCGTGTACTAGAATAAGTCTCACATCCCGGCGCAGGGTTAATGTTTGCATCTGAGGTAGTAGATCACTTTTGACGTTTAAGCAGAAAATAATTCATTTACGTACTTATCTTTCTTTGTTTGCAGCCCATTTGGATTGATAACATTGCTGTTGTCCAAGCTGCATATTAAAATAACACTTATGATTGTCACACGATCTGCATTCGCAAGACAAATCAATATTTAAAAGACAACCGCGAGGACTACACATTTCATCTTACTCCATGTCAGTTCTGTTCCTAGATTCCTTCTGTCAATTGTACAATCCGAAGTAAGCGATTCCATTCGAGTACATTCGGTGAATAAAGATGAATTTCTTAGAAACGGAGAAGAACTGGTCTGTGTGTAGCACATATTTTAAAATACTCTAATCATATAAACAGACATTTTATTTAATAATGATAATATCATTGATAAATAATTAAAAAAGATAATAAGACTCGTATGATAGTGAATATTGTAGCTAAGTTAAAAAACGATTTAAAAAGTTTCGATTTATGTGCAAATTTACAACATCCAATCAAATTTCTCCGTTACTATTTTCTATCGATTTAATTGGTCAACTCGTTCATACTCCTACTCGAATTTTTGTTACGCGATCGAGTACTTGGTTTCACTAATCTTTTTCTTTTTTTTTGTTCTTACAATTAATGATTCATTTAATACGTTAGGTACTAAATTAGTTTCATATAAATATTTATTTTCATTTTATATTATATATTATTAATTTTAAAAGACAAAATATACATGTAAATATATATGTTCTTACTTGATTATCTTTTTTCTTTCTTTTTTACGTTAAATTATATTTTTTTTCAAAGTCTACATAGGAAGTACCTGTTATAATTAGTTCGTTAATGACTATTGTAGTATTTAGTTGCCGCGTTTAAAATTATTTAACCTGCGCATGTAATGTACTAAAGATGTCTGACAAAAATAATTCTGTCACAGTTTGTCATAAAATGATTACATACACAAATTTAATTCGGAAAATTACATAATGTAATATCCTTATTATACTAGTATGTAGATATTTCTTGGAATATGTATGCAACATTAACTTGATTGTATTTTTAGGTGCCAACAAGGTAGAAATGCCAGAAATAATTATAAATATGGCATATTGTTAGTGAGGTTTTAGCATTAAAAGTTAGGTATAACTGAGTGTAGGGTATCCAATTTTTCTTCTTAATGTAATTACAATTTTATAAGTGAAACTATTAATATAACGACATACATAGTTTCTTAATACTGTAAGTTAATGAACTTGTTTTGATAATCATTGCGCAATGTAGATAATGATTATCATATTGGGCACATTATAAGATTATAATAAGTAAATTATAATATTCGTTAAGTTAAACAGTACATTTAATCTGTTACAGTCTCTAAAAGCTAAGAAAATGGAACTAAATCTTAAACGATTAGCTGATATTTTAAGCGTTTTCATCATAGCCATGTGTTTTATATTAAAGGTTCCGCAAATCTTTAAATTAATTTCTGTAAAGTCTGCCAAACAAATATCTATTTTAGGACTGTCGTTAGAATTGACAAGGTAATATTTGATCATTCTATTTTATATTTTCTTGCAACTTATAATATATGCAATATTTTATTAGAACAACAATAAAAAGTATATTTTAACATGTATATATGTACATACGTGTATATACTAATAATTTAATATTGCAGTTATACGATAGTGGCAAGTTACAATTACGTGAATAGATATTCCCTATTATCATATTTTGAATATCCAGTTATTTTAATACAAGACTATATTTTAATGTATTTGATATTAACATATTCGAGAAAAATGAATATATGGAGCTTATTTTTCACGATTGTATATATTACAATGAGCATTTGTTTTCTATCAGAAATCATACCAAAGATTGTTCTTACGTTCTTAACGGTTAGTATAATTATTTAATGTTCATTAATGAATTTATCATCATTGTATAAATATTCACGGAAATATCACTTTTAGCCAATGTGTACTCCCATATCTGCGTCTAGTAAAATAATGCAATTGGTAGCAATTATTAGAGCTAAAAATGCAGATTCCATTTCACCCCTAACTTGGTTTATATCCGCTTTATCAAATTTAAGTAAGTTTTTTTACAACCAGAGTAACGGTGAATAATATAATTAATTGTTAATTTAATCTAAAATGTCGATATTTGTGTTATTTCAGTAAGAGTGTTTACCATATGGATGGATTCTGTTGATATTTTACTATTAGGAAACTTCATTATATCTGTACTTTTAAGTTCTAGTATAATGTTTTCTTCCTTGTATTATAAATATTATAATGTAAAACAGGATTGAAGAAAATATTATTTTGTATCTGAATAGTTTCAAATAGACATCTTGAAAAGAACATTAAAGCAAGTAAGTCTAAATGTAGAATTACTTCCTTTTATACAATAATAGTAATATTTTAAAACAGGATTTTATTTGATGAAAAATAGAAAAATAATCATTTATATAGATTCGTAAAAGGAACGATTGAAATCACGCTCATTTTAATTAATTCGATCGTGCAATATAACAAATTGAGCAGTCGTTCACGGTGAATGACTTTACACAATTAACGTTCATTAACAGTAAAAGGCTAATGATCTTTGCAATTAGAAAAGAATGCAAAATGAAATGGCAAGAGTAAAATATAATAAACTCGTGACTTCCGTGCAATTAGCGTTATCGCAAAAATTTTATCAAAATAGATGTATAGATGTTAACAACTAAAGATTGAAAAAAAATTATTAAAAATGGCTAAAGATCGATAGATCGACAGATCATCCTTCGGTGTGTACATATATAATATATGTATATATGTATATTTTCTTATCTATATCTAATAGTTAAAAAAAAAAAATATGTATGTACGTGATAATTAATAGTTAAATTTAAACTAGGTCAAACTTATCCGAAAAAGAAGAATGAATGAATGAACGAACGCAGGAACGAAAACAATGATAGGTGTTAGCGTAGTAGATGCTCTATATAGAGTTTAATGGGTAAAACATAAGAGGATATGTATACACACACGTGTAGGAAGGATACCATGTGGTTCCAGCATGTGTGGACCATCCTTCTTGGAGAGAGCCACCCACCCCCACCTTCCTTCGAGTCGTTGCTTCTCGATGACCCTTCTGCTTGACAGTCTGCATCGAGAAGCCGCTCGAACATCTTATATTATCGTTCATGACGCTTCGCGTTGGTTCCTCTTTCTCTTTCTTTCACATAATTTTCGTTACGTGCTCGAAAGAGGAGAGAGAAAAAAAGAACGAAAGAGAATAGTGGAGTGTGGGTAGAGAGAAAGAAAAGAGAGAGAGAGGAAATAAAAGGCCCTTAGTAGGTAGAATTTTCAAACAGAATCGTTGATAAAATCGAAGATCTCAGTTGTCGGTCGTCCACGGACGGACTGGCAGTGGTGGATCGTTGATCGATTCTGTCACGATGTCAGGGTGGTGGTGGTTACACGTAATAACACATCTTCTCCTGATCGGTCTATTGGTAAAAAATTCAAAGGCCGAAAGTTTAACGCCACCGTATTTTAATCTTGCCGAAGGCAAGGCGATCACTGCCTCGGCCACGTGTGGAGTCGATACTCCTGGACCAGAACTTTATTGTAAACTTGTTGGCGCGAATGCCGATCAAGATGAGGATATCAATTTAATTCAAGGACAGGTAAGCACGAATAACGTTCTAAAAATATACTTATTATTGATGAATCAAATAGTTGAAAGATATTTAATCAAATATTTATCAGATAAATTATATAATACATATTTTTACTAATTTCCTTTCGAATTGTCCTTTCATTTTTCAATTCCATAAAATCATCAATATCTTTCAATAAATTTTTCACCAAATAAATTTCTTTATACAGGTTTTTTCTTTTATATATTTATAATTAATGATCTATATATTTTGTTTTGTTGAATTAAATTTTATCTACTTTGATTCTTCGAGACCAAGAGTTTATCGGTTTGAAAAAATAACGACTTGCTTGCTCAACTATTTCCTTACTCTTCTAACTACTCATCTGTTAAAAAAAGAAAAAAAAAACATAATTATAACAGGATTATATATAAATATAGTCGAATGATGGATAATAATATTTGTATAAAGAATATAACGTTCGTGTTTCATTCGTATCGCTTCTTGGTAATAAAGATGATAAAGGAATAACTTCAAAAAGATGAGCATTATCACGCAAGAGAAATATGTGTGAATGAAATCGTAAGGGAGAGACAGTACACTTCTTTCATTCATTAATTAATATCGTATATAATACAGTATAAACAAAACGAAGAATTAATAATTATAAATCGTATTAATGAAGTGGATGATTATCTTTCTGATAACAAATGAACAATCAACCTACGTTAATTTATATTGTTGAATTATTTCAACAAAAAACTATATTAAACACGTTTGCGACTTTCTATGTTTTTTCTTTTTTTTTTAACTCAATAATGATATCACTCGATAATATATTTTAGATGACAAAATTTTCTAAATATTAAATATGCGATAATTATCAAAAGTATTCAAGTTATTTATTTTTCACACTCTCTACGAGGAAGATATTCGTTCGTTATCGCAAGAACATTTTGTAAGCGGCGGACGAAATAAAGCGCTTAAAAAGTCAAAGTAAGATGTTCGATAAAAGAAGAGATAAGGTGACCTCTCGATACACTTTAAATTTCCGTTTCTTCTATTCCGAATATTTTCATGGAATTTTAGTAATCCATTATTATTATTATTAAATCAAAAAAGAAAAATATTTGATAATATTTGATTAAATGTTAATCGAATAAAACAAATATAATTAGGAAGATCGATTTCGCGTATTATAAAATCTAACATTATAATACTCTTAATCTTAATCATAATACTCCTATTTTGGTTTCTATTTTTGAATTTTTGTTCAGGTGTGCGATGTTTGCGATCCAGATAGTCCGGAAAAAAAACACCCTCCGGAATATGCTGTCGATGGTATGGAAACTTGGTGGCAATCACCACCACTTTCTAGAGGCATGAAATACAATGAAGTGACTTTAACAATTGATTTGGGTCAAGTAAGTTATCGAAAAAAAATATAAAAACAAGAAAAAAAAATATATATATATACATTAATGAAAAAAATAAAATTAATTACACTGTATAATTAATTTTAATATTAAATATAAATATTTATTTATTTAATGTTGATAATCATAAAAAAAAATTATACTCGAGGGTGATGGCTGAACAGCGGGAAAAAGATACAAACTTAACGTGCAACTGTATTTTATCTATAAAACAAAAAAGAGATTTATCATGTTGTAGGCGTTTTCCTGCATGCCG